CAAAACTCTGGGTACTTGGATTGTGCTTACAGAAATTAATTGTGATAGCCCATATTCCAGAATGAAGAAAACCCATGCAATCATTATCTCTAAATTTTGAGAAGAGAACCTGTATAAAAAAAATATGGGTGAAAACAAAAACCAAAAAAACCCTGAGCCTGGTGTTGGTGGCGCACAACTTTAATCCCAGTACTTGGAAGGCAGAGGCAGGTGGATCTCTGTGAGTTCGAGGCCAGCCTGGTCTACAAGAACTAGTTCCAGGACAGCATCCAAAGCAATACAGAGAAACCCTGTCTCAGAAAAAAAATAAAAATAAAAATAAAATAAAATAAAAACTGATGTTCATGAGAATACTCCTGGAAAAAAAAACAAGTTTTCCGTTTTAGAAATTAGTTAATTGTATGACAATGAGAAATTATTCAACACGATAAAATGACTACACAAAAATAAGGTAATTATCACTCAAGTAACACAAGTTCATAGAAAACAATGTGCAGAAGTTGGTTCTTTCCTTCTATGGATAGAACTCAAGTTATTAAGCTTGATGGCAAGTGCCTTTACCCACTAAGCTACCTCATTGGTTCTGACTTTTTTAAAAATGCAAACTATATGGTAGATTTTCACAGCATAAAGGGCTTTATTAAAGGAAACATAAAATGTAACTACCAAGATGCAAATGTCCAACAATCAAACTGGTTTGTACCACAAAATACCAGGGGAAAAAAAAAGGGACTCAAGTATCTAAAAAAAGTGGAATGAAAGATGGCAGAAAAGATATAGTATAAAAAACACCAAATCTCTAAAGATGTGGTTCCCACCTTCCTAACACTGTGACTCTTTAATACAGTTCCTCTATTAAAATGTTGTGGGGACTCCTAATCATACAATTCTTTTTTTTTTTTCCTTTCTCTCTCCTTTCTCCACGCCCCTCCATTTCTGTTTTTCCAGACAGGGTTTCTCTGTAGCTTCGGAGCCTGGCCTCAAACTCACAGAGATCCGCCTGTCTCTACCTCCCCAGTGCTGGGGTTAAAGGTATGTGCCACCACTGCCTGGCTATACAATTATTTTTGCTGCTCTTCATAACTGTAATTTTGCTGTTATGAATCATATAATGTAAATATGGTATTCAGGATACCCGATATGCAACCACTGTGAAAGGGTGTCCAGACCCCAAAGGGGTGATGACCCATAAGTTGAGCACCACTCCTCTGAAGGATTCTGAGTGTGGTGGCACAGGCTTAGAGTCCCACCACATAGGGAAGTGGGGGGGCAAGGCTGAAGGACTGAGTTTCAGGTCATTCCAGTTAGGTAAGTAATTTTGAGGCCAGTCAGGGCTATGTGATACTGTTTGCAAAAAAAAAAAAAAAGCAATTAAGAGAGTAAGGACTGCCAGGGAAGGGCAGTGGTGGCACACACCTTTAATTCCAGCACTCGGTAGACAGAGGCGGGCAGATCCCTGTGAGTTTGACGCTGGTCTGATCTACAGGGCAAGTTCCATGACAGCCAGGACTACACAGGGAAACCCTGTCTCAAAAAAACCAAAATAAAACAAAACAACAAGTGTGAGGACTAGAGTGGGGTGGTGGCACCCACATTTAATCCTAGTGCTCAGGGAGACAGACGTAAGGGGATCTCTGAGTTAAAGGCCACCCTGGTCTACAGAGTTCCAGGATAGCCAAGGGCACACAGAGCAACCCTGTGTATGCTATGAGGACTGAAGGGTAAAAGGGAGATGAGCTAGATTACATTATAAATGATCAAGAACAAGGTCTCTACTCACAATGGATTCTACCTTGTCATTTGCCGGTAGAAGCTTAACAACATTCAGACACTATACCAAGGAAACATAATAGTGGACTAAAAGAAATCTCAAAAAAGAGATAAAACTTATCTTTGTTTCTTGTTTTTTTTCTGAGATGGGGTCTTTTTTGACCATGTAGTTCTGACTGATAGAGAACTTACCATGTAGACCATGGTGGCCTTGAACGTGCATGGATATTTTTGCCTGTGTCTCACACATTATGGACATGTGTCATCACAACCAGCCAATGTTGGAAGGGCAGGGAAGGCAGGTTCTCTTGTAGCCAAAGATGACTTCTAACTTGGTTACATAGTAAGGGCTGGCCTTGACCTCTGGATCCTTCTGTCCCTGCCTTCCCAGTTCAGGTATGCAACACTGTATCTAATTTAAAAGACCCACTTGGTACTTGAACAATAAATAACCTACATACATATAACTTATGACTATGATCTTTTATTAAAAAAAGTTATGATTTTGGCTTTATGGATACAGTCTTATATATCTCAAGCTGTACTTGAACTCCTGATTCTCTGGATACTATGACATTTTTCATAATCATTTTACAATATAATCATGTAACTCATGACATAATTGTAACAGAAATTGTATTTTCAGAAAGTAACATGTTATCACTGAATGAAACAGAACTCAGAATGGCATGAAATGACCAAGAAATCTGAAGGCTGGTAAGAGGGCTCAGTAGGGACCTGGGTTCAATTCCCAGCACCCACATGGCAGCTCATAACTGTCTGTTAACCCTAGTTCAGGGTACCTGACACCCTCATACTGGCAAAACACCAATCAGCATAATTTAAAAAAAAAACATATGTGCATATATACATATACATATTTGTATATAAGCTCTCAGCTCTCCATGCCTGCGGCTTGCAGACACATTCTCCACCATGATGGCCATGGACTCAACCTAGAAAACTGTAAGAAAGCTCCCAACTAAATGATTTCTTGGTCATTCACAGCAACAGGAAAGTAACTAAGTCTCTTCACAGCAACAGGAAAGTAACTAAGATGGAAATCATGATCCACACTGAACAAGAAAGCCATGTTGTACTGCAATGCAGTGGTAGCCCAAGACTAAGTGCCAGCACTTCAGAGGAAGAGGTAGGCAGAGGTGAATTCGAGGCCAGCCTGGTCTACAGACCAAGTTTCA